GGCTCGTGTTTGTTCGTGGGGGGCTCGTGTTTGTTCGTGGGGAGGATCGTGTTTGTTCGTGGGGATCATGTTCACTGGCATCTGCTCCTGACGAGAAGGGTTTTGAGGGGCTGAAAATGGGGCCAGGAGAAGTATTTGAATAAAGAGCCACCCTTGTGCAATGGAATAAGAAAAGTCTCGTGAGCAGCTGCCTTTCTGACACGCTGCGAGTTGGGTGGTTGAACAGAGATGGAGGGAGCAGGGAGTGGATTTGCAGAGCCCTTAGGGTCTCCCGTGCTGGTTTTCAGAGCTGAAAATCAAGACACCTCCCGCCACGCCGTGCTTTTGTGCTGAGACTAAGCTAAGTGCTCTGACACCGCCTTGTTTAATACCGCCGTCCACCTCGTTGCAATCAATCAAACACATGCTGATAAAATGCCAGGAGCTGGGCCAAGGCAGGGGGAAAAAAGTGCAAATGTCCGTGGTTGCTGTGGCCAGAAATGCTATAAACGTTGTGAAAAATGATTTGCTAAGCATAATCCTGGTGGCAAAACCTCCTCGAGGTTCAGAGCATCAGGAGTATCTGCATTGCCTCTGAATCCTGGCCATGCCCCAGGCTTTACTAGTCGCACAAGGAAAATATATCATCAATTTCGTATTGTTGTTGGATTTTTAATGGAAAAAGAGGGAAATCTGAGGTGTTTTAATTATCAGTGGAAGTCTGGCATGTAAATGAGCTGCAAAAATAATTGTCATCTCTAATCAGGGCGTTGATTAAGAATCCTAAAGCTCCTGAAGATGAAATTAGAAATTCATGTGGTGCCTTTTTGTGTTATGAGTGAGGATGTGTTGGAGAGAGTCAAGTGCATTTTTCAGTATTTTTACGCTCCCCACGGTTTTGGGTGACAATTTGGCACACCTTAGCACAGCGAGTAGTATTGGAGATCTAAGAAATCACAGATAATGAGTAGAGTAGGGTAAGAAATAAGGCAACTTTTTGACTTCCCATTGCAATGAGCTGGGTCTGGAGGATGCTCTAGCGAAGGACGGGAGCCGCCAGCCCCAGGGAGGGAAAGTCCACAGTAAATCCTCTTCCTTTTTTTTCAAGGATTAAAAACCATGAACGTGGTTCTAACAGCCAGAGCGGTTTTATGGGAAGCGAGACCTCGCCACATGCATCTAAATCTCCATGAGAAATAAAACCTGTTCTTGGGGAGAACAGTAACCAGGTAGATAGATGTAGCCTCGTTCTCCAGAGATTTGTTTTTTGGCACTGCAGGGTGCTTTTGGTTAAGAAATCAGCCCGATGCAGTATCAGTAGTACACGAAATGGATTAACAGAGCCAGCTCCCCTGGGAGTTTTCTGCTGTCTGCGACATAAAACAGGGTAATAAAAATTTAGTTTAAACAACGGAGTGAACCCCCCCATAATTGCATTTACCGTAAGCTCCAGCACGGCTCTGCGTAGCTATTTGCTGACACTGCAGAGCTGTCATGGGGGGGTTTTCCCCGTGGGCTGAGAAGGTGGGAGAAGCACTTCTGCACCTCAGGATGAAGAAGGTACCTGTCTGTGATGCTCTGGACATACCTGGTTGGGTCTTAGCGATGTGCAAGCCCCACTGAAAACCCTTCCCACCAAAATATGTTACTTGAGGGCTGAAGAGGAGCTCTTATATTGGCCCTGCAGCTGGAGGGATAACCAGGGACTACCCGGGCACGTATAAGAATTCTTCTGCGTTGGATAGAGATGAACACGATGCTCTCTCCACTGTGAATAACCTTTTTATCAGCCAGTTATAAATCCACCAGGTTGTAGGGGAAGAAACCCTTCTCTTCTTGTATCTTCCTTCTCTGTTTGTGCCTTCATGAATGAAAGACGGAGAGCGAAGCATCGTTTTGTCTTAGAGGACCTTTGAGATTTAAGTGGAGAGGTACCAAAAGAGGTGATTTGGAAATGTAATATTGTGGAACGAACAAAAGATGCTGGTAGAAGTGAGCTTGTCTGAAGGAAGGGGCGTGAAACATGGGTTAGGGGGTTGGTTGCAACGTGGTTTCAACTTGTCCTTAAATACAGCCGTAAAACCATCCTGTTTTCCAAGAAAATCCTTTTCTATTACTCCAAGCTCCAAGAGCTTTGTGTTGCATCCCCTGGGGCATCTTCCAGGGCAGGCTGCAGTAATGAAAGCAGCCATCCTCCAAAAATGCTCTGGCTATTTTGAAGAGTCTCATCTCTGAGGTCGTAGACCTTAAAGTCTTCCCAGGAAGACGGAATGGGCAAATATGCACCTACTTGAGGTGTGAGACTGGATCCTCATCTCTGAGTGCTTTTCTAAATGGTTTTTGAAGGCACTTGTGCCTTCTCCCAGGAAACCACAGCGTGGCTGTGCCTCTGCCAAGCGCAGTGTCTCCGAACTCCTTGTGAAGTGTCACTGCTGACATTTGGCACTGATTCTGGGGAGAAAAGCAGTTGGTTAAATAAAAAGTGCAAGGACTGCAGTCTTCTGCCCTCGGTGGGTTTTGAACATCTCTGTGTGTTGCTCTTTTGTGATCCCAGAAGGCACCAAAATGCTTTCTGGAAGAATAAAGGCTTCTGCCTCGTTTTATGTTAGAAATTTCGATTCAGCTCTGACCTTCTCTTCCATCTAAGACCTTGACAAAAGTCAATCAAGGCTGAAACCTCACTTTTCTGTCTTCCTTGCTTCTCCCAAGAACAAGGTGTTGAGGGAATTACTCAAGAGATGGGCAGGACTGGAGACGATAAGAAGCTCTTGGCTATTTAACGCAAGAAGTCAGGAAAATGGTAGCAAATTTGTGCCGTAGCCAACTGCATTCAAACAATGAGCCTATAGAAAGCAGCGGTGTTTCACTGGCCAGGATCCTGTGATGTTCGTGAAAGTGAGTGTGAAAAGAAAGGACGACTGAAAACTGTCAAGAATAGTGGTTGTTTTTTTTAGTGTAAACCAAATAGACGGATCCTTGGTCCTGTCCAGGCTCGTTTGTACCACTCTGGGTGACAGCATGTACCGTAAGGGGAGTTTGCAACATCCTTATGCTGAAGGCTTCCCATTTCATGGTCCCAGCCCTGGCTGAGATCTCTCTCAGCAATGCTGATGGGTGCTTTGCTGCTGATCTTCACATTTCCCTGCAAGTCTTCCATATGCACCGGGACTAATTAGTCTCCTTAACTACGCCACGTTTGTAAAGAGTGTCTTGAAATGGTGAGAGATGGGATTTTTGATAGCACCTGATGTGGTAGGTACCGAAGCTCTTGGTAGGGTAGCGCTGGACTAATTGCCCTGCCAATTACAGGAGGAACACGTTGCAGCTTTATGGCTGGAGTCTGTCCGGAGATGCACATTTCTTTTCTGCTGTGTCTTGCAGGAAAGCATAATTTACATCTAAAGGTGCACATTTCTCTTTTTCATCTCTGTGCCTCCGAAGCATGGGATGGTTTTGTTTTGTCGTCCAGGAGTTTTTCCTGGTTGTCAAAGCCATCTTCCTGAAAGCATAATAATTTCAGCACGTTATTATTTTATGAGTACGAGGCCCCTTTAGAAATACGTGGTGTGATGGGAGCTGCTGTTTGATCCATGAAACAAGCCAAAAAAAAAAAAAAAATCATCAGAAGATCAATCCCAAGAGGTGCAAAGTACCCAGCTAGTTCAGGATGTGCCACAGCTACTCTCCGGCTTTGCTTTTTTTTGGGGGATGAGTAAGAATCAGTTTTATAACCCGCAATGTACCACTTTCCATCCTGAGAGAAGCAGAGGAATTAGGTTTGGTTGGACTTTCTAAAGGTCCTGAAGAGCAGCGCTTGGCCAGGCTTTCTCTCTTGGATCTTTGGCCAACAAAGATCTAAGCCTTGGGGATGTCTAAAATCCTTATGTTTCTCCTCAAAGTGGTGGAAGACACTGGGGAAATTCCTCCTTGATTTCTGGAGAGCCCAATACATTTAGTCCCTGCGAAATTCCCTTTGTTACAAAGGAAAGACATGACTGAAGGTGTTAGAAAAGGTGACTGGAATTAAACAAGGAGAAAAGCAAGGGAAGGTTTTGAAAGATCTGCTTTGCTAAATGCTTGTGTGACACGGAGGTGGTCCCAGCTCAAATCACTGGAAAAGCGTTGGGGGGACCTGAGCATCCTCCAAAACAGCAGAAACCAGAGAAAAAAAGTGAGTTTTTTAAAAAAAAAATTCCCCCCCCAACACCTTACTGCCAACATACGTGGTTTCAGGGTTGCATTTGGGCAAAAAGGAGCCCTGTAGCAAAGCCAGGTTTGAGGGCAGCTGCTTGCCTTGTGCTACTCTGAATGGTCGAGGCAAGTGGGCGAGCTCTTCTATTTATTATTTTTTATTCTTATGTCTTGTGTTTCCCCTTTGGCTTCCTCCGAGCTCAATCTGTTCACCAATTCTCTGTTCACAGGTCCCTGGAGAAGTCATTAACACCCTGTGTGGATACAGGACGCTCGATAAAGAGGTAGCGTTGGCTTTTTCCTTTGTACATGTGAGATTCGCTTCTCCTTCCCCAATCCCCCTAAAACAAAACCTGCAGGTGAGCTCTTCCCTGCCAAGGATGGCTGTTACTGCAGCCGTGTATAAATTCATTTTTATTGCTTTTCCCTGGCATCTCAGGTTGTTGCTCAGGCTCGCAGAGCACGGGCAGGCTCGTGACATGTTTGGGGTGGTCCCTGTAGGCTTTGACAGGGACTTTCTGGATCAACCCTGGGAAATGCTGGCTCTGAGTTGTGTTCTGAGGCTTGGTGGTAGGAGAGAAGCTGATTTTGAAGCCTTCGAGGGTGACCGCCGGGCTGTGTCACAGCAGGGAGCTGCACTATCTCTGTGCATATGGTCCGTAGCTCCCAGGGACAGTTTTTTGGCAAGAAAATCTTGGGAAAGGTCCAATCCAAGAAATCGATTCCCAAACGCTTCTCATGCCACTCCTTTGGCTTGCAAGAAGGTGCAAATGGAAAAAATACCATCTCCCCCCCCCACAAACCCAACACCTCAGTGAAAACCGTGATGCTTCTCTCCCTCTCTGCTCTTCTTCCAGCGCCTGGAGCTGCTCAACGACATCCACGTGCGAGGCTGCATCCACGCCGTCGGGCTCTGGCTCAAAGACAACTTCGAGGCCACTTTGGGCATCGTTTGCTCCCTGCTGCTTCCACAGGTACGTGGTGGCTCCGGTCGGCGTCCTCTTGGCTTCTTTCACTGTGCTGGAGGAGGAAAAGAATTAATTTTTAGGGTTTTTTTTGTTTTTCCCCCCTCCATTTACATCAGAGATTTGTGTCTGGGGCAGCAAAGGTCACAGCGCTTTCTAGAGCATCCTTAGCGAAACTAGCGGTTTACGACTGCGGCGCTGGCTGTCCCGTACCACACTTCTGAAATCTAATCGTTGATCAGGTAATAGCATCTAAAAGCGAGGCGTGCATGTGTTAGCGCAGAAATCCTATTCTATTCGGGTTTATAGCTCTTTTCAAATAGAGCATAAATATCGACCAAAATAAACCATAATCGTAAATTTAGCAGGATTTGCCGTGCCTCATGAAACCCATTTCCTATTAATGAAGCCTGAAGATCCAAGCAACTTTCCAGCACAGGTAATTAAGCTCTTTGTCACAGATGCTTGATATGGAGCGAAATTTTGTGTTGCAGCTGGAGCAACCCCTTTACAACACCGTTGGCACTGTGCTAGCAAGGAAGTGAATATCTCTCTTAGATCTTTCTGGAATTATTTTTGACGAAACTTTGATGGTTTAGGGTTGATTTGATCCTTTTTTGTTTCCTTTGGAGGCTTACAAGCGAAAGCTTTCTTTTTATCTCCTTGCATGTAATGTTGGGTTTGCTGCTGGAGGTATTTAGTGATGCTTTCCAGATATGGGCGTTTATCTGAATGGGAATGAAATTATTAATTTTTTTAATTATGTGTTTCTGCTTGCATTGAAAAGTAGAATAGTGGCTGAATAAAGCAGGAGCTGTTGGGGAAATAAGCGACGTGTTGGGCTAATTTTTCAAAGGATGAACTCGAGCTCTCAGATGGTGAAAACCCAAATGAGACGGGGGAGCAGTTTGTGCCCAGTCCTAGCTGTCACGCCTCGCGGTTCTACGGCGCTTTTCTCCAAAGCGTGCAAATGAGCAACGGGCTTCTGCTGTGCCACCGCTAGGAAATGCAGCGGGCGCAGAAACGGGGTGAGAAAGTGCTGTAGGAGAGGCGACCGCTTCCATCTGCCTTGCAGGATGTCGAGAGCCCATTACAGAAGCCGCCTGTTGCGTTACCCATTAACCTGCCAACATGATGCTCTTAATTGGGAAGGATGGGGAGCAAAACCAGCGATGGCAACAAGGATTGCTGAGCCTTGATGAATATCAAGTGCTTTTGAGCGAGCGTTGTGATTTTTCTGGCGTGCCGTTAAATGCTCTTCAGATGAAGAACCTCGTTCTTCCCATCTGCTCACGATTTCCAGGTTTTAAATATAAATCAGATTTGATTCTGTCAAGTTTTGGAGGGAATTAAGTTATAAATGGCCATCTGTGTTGCCAGGAGCTGTCAGCCCAGAAACAGCTTCATCCCCAGCAGCTGCCAGCAAAAAGCTGGGATGAGACTATTGTCCTTGAGTTGCCGATCCGAGAGGGAAGGAGTTGGCAGTGTTGATGTGGGGAGGTGAGAGTGCCTTGAACTTTGGGAAGAGTGAATGTATTGACCTGGCCCATCTTTGAGTATCTGTCATGTGCCACACAGGACACGTGCCTCTCTGTGGAGCTGCAGACCACCTTTGGTGGAAAACTTGCAGGATGCTGGGAAAAAAGGGTTGGGATCGTAATCCATGTCCTGAGTCCAGCTTTAGGTTTTGCCCAGTTTTCCTCAGTGTTGCTCTTCCTTAGGACCAAGCTTCAGCCTGGTCTGGGATGGCGAGCAGCTCGAGGGCTCCAAGGTGGTGGGTTTGAGCTCGGCTGATGTTCATCATCGGAGCGCTCGGGGTTTGCGCTTGGATTTGGAGTAAGCAACTGGCCGTTCTTGCGCAGAAGGAAGGACCCAAGAAGAATTTTGGCCAACACAAGGTGCCCACAGGGCGTGGGAGGTTCTTGCTCTCAGTGTCGTCTTTCCATCATGCTCAGGTGTGGGAAACCATCAAATTTTGGGTTTCCATCACGCGGGAAGTTAATGAATTTTTAAGTTTTCTCTGCTTTTCCCCAGATATCTGTGCGAGAGGCCGAGAGCACACGGCAGGCTGCTTGGCTTTGCTTTCTCAGGCGTGCAGGCATCCATCTAATTGGGTTCAGGGAAAGATGTAAATCTGCTGGGTCCTGTTGGGTGTTGAACTGCTTGAACGGGTGAGGGGGCAGGGAAAAATCCTGCCCGGGTCCGTCACTGCGCAGCAGCCAGCCTTTCCCCTGGCCGGTGCAAGGCAGAGGGAATTTGTAATTTTATGATCGCTCTTAAATCATGAATGTCTCTGCCTTTTTTTAAGTAAGCCAGCGAGTGATGCGAAAATCTGAGGAGAGGGGAAGTGGTTGCGTTCGTCTTGCTTCGTTCAGAGCGAAGCATAAATGCACCAGCTCGAGGTTTTTTTCTTCCTTCACAGAGTACCTTTAATTCTCTTTTTTCTTTTCCCTGTGTTTCATCCTCCAGTAACAATCCCGTCTCCTTGCCTTTCTTCTCAGCCAAGCTGCAGACCGAGGCCAAACCGTGATGCATTTCATATTGCTCTCAAAAAGACGTTTTAATGTAGTCGCAGGCAGTCAATGGCAAATTCACGTTGTGGCCTCATACTAGTTGTGTTTAATTATGAAGCAACCTCAGATCTTTCAGCAAAGCGCATAAATTTGTTTTATACTGGCTGCATCCCTACCTTCCCTGCCTCTAGCAGGATTATCTGAGGAGTCTACAGCGTGAATAAAACGCATTTGTAGTTAAAAGAAGCCAAATAACCTCGTGTGTTGCTTTTTCCCCTTTGTCATGCCCAGGTACTCTTTCACCAGCTTTTATACTGACCTCAGGAAAAAAAATGTCCAACTTTTCCATTGCCGTGTTGTTGCAGGGGATGTTTTCCGATGGTATTTCATCCTCCTTAGCAAGGTGAAGGCGTAGCCACTGTAATAAGGTAGAAACGTTAAAAAAGTGGGTAGTGCATTAAAAGATAGTGCATTAAAAAAGTTCTTCAACCCCCTTTTCTCCATCCTAAAGAAGCAGAAAGTGGCACAAGTCCAATTAAAAAGGAAAAAAACCTCTCTGCAAGGTCTCTGCCAAGGGTTGGTATTTATCAACTCTGTGGCGCAGCCCACCCGCCATAAATTGTTGTGGCCTCCATTTCACTTTGCTATTTCATCAATCTCCAAAGCTCTGCCTTGGGAGCAGCTACAGAGTAACGGCATCAGAGTAGAGGTAGATGTTCCCTCCTCAGAGTATAAAACCAGAATATCAGCTATTTCAGTCCTCAAAAATGCAGCGTTAGACTTGCGACGGGCATTTTGCCGGTTGGCATCTTCGTCTCTTGGTGACAGTAACGTTAAATGTTTCCTGGTGTAAAGGGCTTTGTATTGTCAAAGTTCCCTTTTTCTTTGCAAGATTAATTTCAATTTTGTTTGCTTTTTAATATCTTAGTTGCTCTAGGGGCCGGAAGGCGGTATATTCTCAAGTGGCTGACGTGTGCTTAATGTAGAAGAAAAGGGGAATAAAAGGGGTTTTTTCCATCTGCAGTGCCTGGTCTATAAATACCAATTTATGGAAGGAAAAGCCAATAAAAGATAAATGCTTGCCTTTACTTGATTAGCTCTGTGAAAGCTTGAAACGATTCAACTCTTCTGTTTAGCAGGATCCAACTTTACAGCCGCCCAAATGGGCAAGGACCTCCGGAGCCGGGCGCCCGCCTGCGCAGCAGCCGGTGGCGTTTGCACGGAAAAGGGGTTTCTTGCAGAAAGTTTTACTTGCAGAAGACCCTCGTGGGGCTGATGGATTCTTTTCTACGTGGGCAGAGTTGGTTTTGTCAGGACCGGGGTGCAGCGGGATGTGGTTAATCGTGCAGTTGCCCTGCGAGGGCTCTTGAGCATCTTTTTGTTGCTATTTTCCATCCTTGATTTTTGCCCTTGTTAAGCATAAGCCAGATTGAGCCTTGCACGTTTGATTGCCCAGGAAAATGCGACTGGAGGAGCTGAGCTCATTTCGAGTGCTCTGCAAGGGCCCAAAATGCGACCTTTTCACCCCGAATCGAGCCACCGATTGCGTACGCACACCGCTAAGGGAACCCAGCGGTGGCTTTCCAGACCTTTTTCTTGTCGTATAATAATGTGGAAATGAGCGTTTCAGCCCTTTCCTTCTTTGCTTCCAAAACCATTCCTGACTCTGAGCGTGCTTCCTTTTGCCAGACGAGCCATCAATCAACAAGCATTTCCCAGTGAGGAGGATATTGCGGTTAGATCTCGGCCCTATCGGCCCCTTTTCCTCATGCAAAACCGTTTAATCCGAAAACAAGTGGAGCCGCTACAAGACAGTAAGCAAAGCTGGGGCTTGGCAAGGACGGAGCTGAGCACCAGAGCCTCGTAATAAATCTTGCAGCACCTACTGGAAGACAGAAATACGTGGCTTAAGTCTAGCAGAAGGCTCTGCGCTGCCCTAGAACCACCGAAACTGGAGCGGAGCCTCAAGTACTTGTATATATTTAACTTCCTCAAGTGCTGGAAGAGAAGAAATAACCATTAAAGTATCCCAGACTTCCATATTGATCTGGTTTTGGTCTTGTGATGTTGGTAGGAAATGGGTAGTTGGGACCGACGCTGTCCTGTTTGAAATGGTTTTAAAAAGCCTTCGCTGGCTGCTGTCAGCTCCAAGAGGGCTTTGAAGGAGAGAGCAGGCGTCGATCCCAAGTGCAATATTGGGGTTTATCTGAGATGGATCGTGCTGGAGAGCCAGGACGCTTCACTGCCACCACAAAAAAAAAAGAGTGGAGAACAGGCACTGAAACCACCAGACCATGTATTTCCAATCTCTTCTGGATATCTCTTGCTATATAAAGATGACTCTTCATGCGTTGGAGTAATAGCAGTGGATGAAGTGAAACATTTGCTGTGTCAGGGGCAATAACTGTTTAATTTCTGGAGTGATGAGCTGGGAACAGCAGCAGGATGGTGTCCTTGCTCAGCCAGACGGGCCAACACCCGTAGCGTAATCATGATACAGCACCCAGTTGTAATTAGTGTCACTGTTCTGAGTTGGCTAGAAATAATTGCAAGTTCGGGAGCAAAATAAAGGGGGTTTTAATTTGCTTTTTGAGCTTTTGCTGTTTTGCATAGAGAAAACTCAAGGGTCTTCCAGTACCAGGGACTTGCAGACATCCATGGGAACCTTCTGGGATTAAATGAGCATTTATAATTGGGGCATAAAACAAGAAAAGTATCAGACTGCCCTTGCCTGGCTGCGTGTCCCTGCACAGGTTTGGCTTGGGGCAGGGAGGTCCCTCTCCCGGGGACTCGTGGGGACAGGAGAAATACAAACAAGGGGTTTGATTAAGCGACGTGGGAGGATATGAAAAGCTGCAAGTGATGAATGGGTTTTATTTCCCCGTCCTCCCAGGTGGCTCATGAGCATCGTACAGCCCCTGGGAGTCTGAGGCAAAATCCCTGAGGATTTGCGCTTTGGAGCGCTCGTTTCTCTTTTTCTCTCTGATGGACATGAATTTCCTCGGGCTGCTTGGATGGGAGAATTTATGGCTGGCCCTCGCTGACAGCAGGCACCCCGCTCGCCCTTTTGCTGGTTGAAAATGAAGACGCAGAAGTTCCTTACCCAAAATTGGATAGGTTTGGGGCGGATTTCAGCCGTGGCTTTCCAGGGAAGTCCCAAAGCGCTGCTGAGAGATGGAGAATCGAGATCCTCAGCTGCAAAATGCCAGTTTGGATCAGCGCGAGGCTGCCGAGCTGCTACTGGGAGGAGCTGGAGAGGTTGGAAATGGCAGCAGACATCTGCCCCCCGTTCTGTTGTGCTGTGCACTTAGGTATTCAACTGACATCCCGGTGGGTTTGCGTGCTTTATCGATTCCCTCAATATCAAGGCTCTTGGGGTTTATTTTAGGCACACAACTGCTCTTACACACCGTAGGAGCAGCTACTCGATGATCTCGTACCCCCTTGCAAACCCTGAGCATTTAAATCCCCCAGCAAAAAAGCTCCAAAAGCGGCAGACTAGAGACCTCCCGAAGCAGCGGTGGTTTCTGTACTTCGCTGAACGCCAGCCAGGAAGAACAGGCAAATCTCTAACTTTAAATGACCCACAAGCAGTTCTCCCCTCGCTCGCTGGTGGTTACCGTCGCGGAGAAAAGCGGCTTTTTAATTTCTTTTTTAGCCTCATACCTGATAGATTTTGTTAACACGCTCCTCTGCAGTGACGCCTTCCTTCATATTGCAACGCAATAAAATCAGCGCTCGCGTTAGAAGTCTCGTTACTTCTGGAAAACAGGGTGCCCTTGGTGCCGGGGATATTGAACACATCTATATTCCTGACAGCTTTTTCTGTTTTCATTAAGCGAAAGAGGATATTTAGAGGCGAGCTGGAAGGGAAGGTGGCTCATAACTCAGAGGAGAGTGAAGGCTGTGGGATGCAGGCTGCTGATTGAGCACTTGGGGTACTTTTAGTCCATTCAAGAAATCCCCAGTTTAACCAGAATGCTGCGCCCTGTGGGACCTCGGATGTCGCATCGCCGTCGGGAGGAGAGGGGAGGAGAGATGATGTCCCTGGAGCTGGCTGGTTTTGCAGGGCTGGATTCATTTGCATTCTATTTATTATAAACACAAATCTTTTCTGAATTACTGTTTGGTTTAGGAAGGAAAAAATTACATGCTTGCCTTAAAATTTGTCATTTCAAAGGGTTTTTCTTGCTTGGTCCTTTCACTGTATCAGCAGTGGGATTTTAATCTGCCCATATGCTAATAGAAGTAAATAATGCTAAAGCTTGACGTGCATTTAAATATTATTTTAAAACTTTTTAAATCCTTCAAGGCTCTGCTGTTGAATATGGATTAGCGCAATCTTATTATCCGGATCCGCACGGGAGCGGTTGCTTTGGGCTCTCCCTACAGCTCCTGGAGAGATGGAGCCGTCTCCAAGCATCGGCCAACCAGCCTTGGGCCTCCTGCAGCCCTGCCTGGAGTTCCTGCAGCTTTTGGGGACCAAAGAGGGGACGGATACGGGACAGGAGAGCAGGAACCCAGCTGGCATTTCTATGACAAAGTCCTTGGCTTTGTTCTTTTTGCTTTGCCGCCGAAAGCGAGCTCCACCCCAGGTGACCGCGAGGTTGCACAGCCCGATTTTGGTTCCGCGCACGTTCTCGGGGAGCAAACGCACCTCGCACGGTTTGAGTCGGAGGTGGATGCCACCTCCCTACGCAGGCTGAAATCACTTCGCAGAGTATTTGGGAAGGAGTTGCCTGCTGAGAAGGATATATAATATGCAGCGCAGCAGTGAATATTTTGAGGGCAGCGGGGAGCTATGCAGATACAAACACACGGGGCTGTAAGGTAACCTGATTTCAGGCCGTTTGGCTAACAAAAGGAGATGCTGAGATGTTTCCAGACTTCAGTTATTCTTTCAGCATCTGCAGTCGTCTTTCTCAGCCCATAACCTGAACAACACGAATCCAGCATTTCTGTAATTCCCGCAGGCGGGAAAAGCCCCACTACCGTAACCGCACGGCACCCTCCGGCAACCTCGTCAGTTCTTCCAGTGATTAATCCTGTTAATCAGTAATTAGGTGGAATGTCAAATAAGCAGGATCCTCTTTGAGGATGGGTGAGTGCAATGAGGAAAGTGGGAATGGGGCAAGCTCCAACTGAGGACTTCAAGGATAGACTCTCCCTACTGAGCATCTCAAAGGTCGTGGTCTTCCGCTTCTCCTGGCTTGAAGGAAGAGCTGTCGATCCAGGGGTTTCCCTTAGGATCCACCTCCAAGTGAATTTGGGAGGGAAAAATCAATATTGAGCTGTTTTGGGGTGGCTTCCGTGCAAGGCAGAGGCTGCTCGTGAGGAAGGCAGGATATCTCTCTGTCTTTGAAAGGCAAATTAATAAACCCCCGCGATATTTGTGTTTGCCTGTTTGCTTTCAGCTCGCTGGGTGACACTTAGCTGATTCGCTTTTTTGCTGCGGAGTTTTTACCTCCATTTTCTGCAGCCTCCTCTGGGCAAACACTTTTCCACCCTGGGATAAAATGGCCCCTAATTTAAGACGCGTTAACAGCCCTTTGCTCTCATCCCCATTTATCTTTCTCTTAATGTTCCCACTTTCCAGACTATTGAAGGGATCGATTAGGACCCAGAGAAATGATTAATAACGTTTTTCAGCTCCAAAACCAACGCGCCGCAATAAAGCAGGAGATTCCAGCTGATGGATGGTGCAGGTCGAACCGGGTTGTTTATCGACTCGTTGTTGCGAGGAAAGATTGTGCAGAAAAACGCGTGAACTACGTAGCCTCGAAACTGAGAAGAAAAGCCCCGAGGCTCAAGATGGTCTCGTCCTTCTCCGTTGTGTCTTCTGCGTCGATAAGATGCTTGTAGCCCGGTGCTGACCCCAAAGCATCGGGGGCTTGTAGGGAATAAACCTTATTTCTACGCGTAGGTGGTCAAGGTGGGTAAAGGGTTAGTACAAAAGATGCAGTTTGTGCTCAAACTGCTCTGATTGCCTCCGTGCCCCTCGTCAGCGTCTGGTCTGCGCCGAGCTCCTCGCCGTGGCCGACGTCCGCAGCGGCGCGAAGGAAGCGCCGGGTGCAATCAAAGCGATGGGCTTGAAATCTTGCGGGGATGAAAATGGTTTTTCTTTCCTCCTTCTCCGAAAGCAGGGAAATGGGGAGTAACCCGAGTAGCACCGTGCTTGTCTGCCTCTCTCTTTGCGATGATGCTCGTGGTGACGTCCAGCTAATCCACATCCCTCTGTCAGGGCTGTTGGGGGAACTCGTGGGGTAGTTGTGGCCGTTAATGAGTTTAGCAACGAGCCCGTTGCTTTGGCAGAAGATTTTGCTGGATCTTGTCCTCTCTGGTCTCGTGGCCAGGTTTGGAAGTCCAGGTGATCGCATGCCTTGCAGGAGAAGACCTTCAGGAAGGTTTTGAGTGACTTACGGTGGTTTTAACCCTCATGTTTTGCAGGTGATCGGCCTCGTGATGGCTTGGCTGTATTGGCAAAAGCTCAACGAGATCTACTCCAAGCTGGACGCCGTTGACTTCAAGATCCTGGAGACGCGGGATTTCAGCTTTGGGGCGGTGGATCTGAGCGGCGCGGGCTGGTGCTGGTGCTTGCCCAAGGAAGGGGGCTACATTCCCGTCAATGCCGAGGAGGAGGAGGAGGAAGGTGCCACCGCCGCAGCAAAGAGTGAGAAGGTGGAGGACTGAAAGGCGGCTTGGAGAAAAGCTCTTAGGGAGGCAGTGGATGTTGACTGTGGAATTAACGTGATTTATCTTCTCAGGTTCATGAGATACTTTGGGGGAAACTGTAAAGTGACACTGGAAGGTTATAAAAAAACCTCAATGCACTGTGCGGGCGCGGGAGCTCCCCGGGATTCTTTTGCTACCTTGGCCTTTTGAAGTGTTTGTACATCTCCTTAGTGGGTTTTTGGGTTTTTTTTTTTACACAATAAATGTGACTTCTGTAGCGTTTTGCAAAGTTGCTTCCGCTCGCTGCACACCCGTCGGGTCACGGGGGCGGAGCGGGGGGCACCGTCGTCGCTGCACTTTGGGGTATCTTTCTAGGTACGTTTAGCCTGATTGCCTGAAAAATAGTGGTTTTATGGTAGCTCCCCAGATGTGCCCAGACTCCTGAAAGATAAAGGAAAAAGCGGAGCAGCTCTCTCTGCAGAGCCTTTCCAAAGGGCTTTTCCGGGAATCAAAACCCCAGGGAGGCGCATCTTGCACCTCCTGGAGCAACACAGATGTTTGGGCAAGGCTTGCACAGGGGGAAAACACCCGTTTCTGAGGTTTTCCAGCCCTTCCCTATGAGTCGGCTTCAGTTTTTATCCACAGGCAAGGAAAAGGAGAGCGCAGCATATTTTGAAACAAAGACGGCTTTGTTACAGCAACGTGCTGCCCCCGGGGATGGTGGTAACTCCCCTCTGCTGGAGACCAACCTCTAATGACCAGGTAAGGAATTACCTTTTGTAATATTTCTTTTTTTAGCACAACTCGGTGATCCAAGCAGCAATTCCCTCCCGCATCACTCAGAATACAGGAATTAAATAGCCAGGGGGGGTGTTGCGTCCAATCCTGGACCAGTAAGTTGAGCCGTGCTGGGAAATGGGCTTGCAAGGGGAAACCTCAAGTGGATAAATTGCAAAAATATGAGTGTTTTTATCAAAAAAAAAAACCCCAATGAAACCCATTGCAAAGTTCCCCAGGCTGCTCTGGTGCGGGCTCAGCAATAATCTACTGATGGCAAAGCTTCCCCCAGCGGCCCAAAGTCAAATGCAGAGGAGGGAGCGTAGCTCAGGGACTTGTTTTCTCTCCGAATGTACCAAAATCCCACGGGTACCCCCGGGGTGGCTGTAATTGCTGCATCTATCAAATGAAAGGAATCATCTCAAAAGAGAAATGCAAAGAAAAGAAAGTCTCTTTTTCAAAAGAGCAATCTGGCTGCGCCACCGCTGGGCGAAGGAAGCGCTGGGTTTATTATAATAAGGATATTTTGGAAGCCAGAGGCCGGCTTCATTTATTTGGATGCCCAAGCAGGGAACGGTGGGTGAGCGCTGGTGTGCGACTGCCGGGCTCTGTCTCCCTCTTCTGACTATTCCCACGCTTTATATTTTAACTAAATGAGGAGCAATCACCAGCACAGTCCTGAAAAAACACTTTTTGAACTGTTTTTTTTCCCCACAGATCAGGTTGAAAACAGAGCTGTGGACTACAAGAGCTGAGCAGTGGGGCTATTGAATTTTTTTTAAAACAGTATGGTCAAAATCGGGTTTGTTGGGGTTTTTTTTTTGCAAGTGAAGAAGGTAAAACCTGCAGCCCAGGGAAATCGGGTAAGCACAATTATTTCAGGAATAGCAGGGTTGCTGCCTTTGCCGAGGCAGCTCGCGATCTCTGGGGATTTTGCTTTTCTTCCTCCTTCCCCTTCTCTCCAGGAGGTGTTTAGTAAAACCTTACGAAGTACAAGCTGATAAATTCAACCTGCTCTTTGTATTTCCATGTATTTGGAGAAAGAAAGTTCATTTCTATTATTTTTCTCTTTATTTACAGGATAAACCACCAATATCTTGGTACCATTTTCCTGGCTGGGCAGAGCCCGTCGGTGCTGGATCCCAGCACAGGCAGCAGTGAGCGGGTCGGACACAAGCAGGTTTTCGTGCCTGGGTTAATACTGGGTTTTGGCAGGCGGTGAGCGATGGGAGATGGGGAGAAGTGGATTCATGCATCAGCTTGGGCACCCAGCTCCCCTGTTCCCACAGACAGTTGGTCTGCAAACGCCTGGAAAACGGGAAAGGTGGATTTAAGCAAAAGCATGAAATTGTAAGTGCGCTTTGCAAAAGCTTTTCTCCCCGCTCACGAACGTGCCTGGTAACTAAAATAAGGGGATGCCAATAATATTCCCTAATTCACCTTCAATTTTGCATTGTGAAATCGCTGCTGCCTTGCTCCAGACCTGACCCTCTCTACCCATGGAAGAGCAAAGCTAAGAAAACCAGGAGCTGGGAAGAAAATGGGAGCAGGGATAAAGTATCAAACAGGTTTTGCTTTGCTTCTGCTGAGACTTCGGGCCGTGCCATTGAATAAAAGCCCTGATATCGGATGACCTTAAAGCACAAAGTCTGATTTCTCAGTCCCCGTTTTTTGGCTTAGCGACGAGGCTGATTGTGACAAAGTGCCGGGCGCCGCTTTGATGCAGATTTATTGATACCCCCGTTAAAAGGCTAAGCGGAGGCGAGCAAGCCAGGCGTTAAATAGAAGCGGACAGCTTGGGAAGCGAAGCGGGCGGGCTCGTGCGACCGAGAGCTTGGTTTTCATGAAATCAAATTTACAGATGTTCAACACGTTAAAAGCAAAATGTGGAAATCACGAAATAATCCGGCGTGCGAGCCTCGTCCAAAAAACCAACCCTGCAACCTGTATTTGATGGCCCGGGGGCTGATCCTGTCATCCCCAGGGGCTTTAGGAGCTTTCCCACTGACGGTGATGCTTCCCTGCACCTCGCTGAAGAATTTCCTTCCGTTCCTTAAGATCAGATGTAGATGATACTGCGCAGAGAAAAAAAATAAAGAAGCAGTTGCCCTCCCAAATCCCTAGCGATCGAGCCAGAACTGGTGTAAAAACCAAACCCCAACAACCCCAGAAGGCGCAGATCCTGCAAACCGGGGATGGCCAACCTGAATTTTCTGACGTCCCGATGGTCTGATGTCTGGAGACCATCACTGCGCAAGCCCAGGTCTCCGCTGGCTGGACTATCCCATCCTCTCCGGAGGTCTGTTTGCATCCCGTGATGCCTTTCTGCTCCCAAAGTCAATCAGCGTCGCCCAAAATACATTTTGACCCGGGAGCTACAGAGCGTTTGGCAGTAGGCATCGGTACGATGGTGGCAAGAGCAGCTTTATCTCAAGGCGATCTGGGCTCCCGCACCCACCGGCACCTGTGACTTTACTCCGCGGCCCCGTCTTCTGATTCCTGAGCGTTTTTTGGGGAGTTCAAGGTGAATTGATTGAGGGTAAAATTTGATTTTGTGGGACTGAGGGCTGGCGGGGGTAGTGGGGTTTAGTTGGGAAAGATAACAGCGCTCATCTTCTCCTCCCCTTGTTTCTAGCGCGCTTTCCGTCGTGTTTTCCAGCAGTTCTAGTGCGTATTGTGCGTGTGTCTGTATGCAAGGGGTTTTTGGGGGAAAAAGTTTTATGTGTAAAAAATTAGAGGAAAAAAATCCCAGACTATACAACTCCTAGATCAACCTTTATTATTTTTTTTTATTATATCAGTGGATCTAGCAAAGTGTGGGTTTATCAGAAGTTGGGTTGTTTCTGCTGCCCAACAGAGCTGCAGTAGAGCTCTCGCCAGCCAAGCTACATTACAAAAAAAGTCAGATTTCTTCCCAATATAGACCCAGCTGAAGGGTTGTGGATCCCCATCCATCATCTGGGGACCCCGACGTAGCGCCGAAGCTCATGGGGAAATATCTTGGGGGGGTTTCATCTGTTGGAAGGTACCAGGTCATTTTTAGAGCAAAAATATTTATGCCTGCAGCTGGAGGGTATTTCACTGTTTCTCGTGCCAGCACCAGCTTCCTAAAATCCTCAGAACTAGCCCCATAATGTTATTCCCAGGAAGCCAAGGCTTGTGACTGATCATCCCTTAGTATGCCCAGGTTTGGGGCACAGTTGTCCGTCCGGAGGTGTTTGCCCCTAGAATAAATTGGTTCCTGCTTCTGTGCAAAGGTCGTGGAGTTAATGTGGTCCGAAAAAAAAATCCCAAATCTGTTAAATCAAGAGTTGTCTTCAAATAGCAACTGGGTTAAGGCTGGAGCCCGTATCGGGCTCAAGGTGGTCTTTGCCTTGGGGGAAAATGGGTCAATAATTTGGCAGCCCAAGCAGAGCCAACCTGGCCACCCCTGGACCCTTCCAGCTCTTTAGGTGCACACCTCATTCGCTTTATATTTTTAACTTATTTAGCTGGAATTGAGATTTTTTCCTCCCCAAAATAGATGGATAACGATATGATATTGCCATGGATGCGAGCAGCCAGACTGGGGGATGCGGAGCGGCTGGCTCTCCGACTGCTCTCAAAGTGACTTTGGGAGGCATCGACCGGGCTGCCACGAATAGTAACCGTTCCCCCATCCAAGTCAAGTGTGAAAGGCAATCACTGGAGGTCAGATAATTAGGAGATTAATTAGCATCCGTGGCAAAATCCAAAGAAACTCGTATGGGGATTCAAACAGCAGGTTTGAAGGAAGCTATCTGGAAGCGGCAGCATGTGTACGGTGTAAAATCTGTGTTTAGGAGATGGTGAAAAATGAACTCTGCTGCTGCAAAACCCCTTCTACCTGTGCAGGTCCCTCCCCTGAAAATTAAATGAGTGCTTATTGCCAGCAAGCAGCCCCTGTTAACTGAAAGTGTGTCCATAATCGTACCAGCAAATCTCTGTAATAATCTCTTACGCTTCACTTACGCCTTCCTTTGAGCAGCAGAAATAAGAGACCGGAGACGTAACCCCGGTGAAATTTATCCGGATTTTCTTAAATATGGGGAGAGCGGAGGTGGAGCGCGGGCAGGGCTGGCGCAGAGCGAGGCAGAGCTGAGAGCTCGCCCGGGCAAGCGAGGCGCGGGCGCTGGCAGGAGGTGCCGGCGGGTCCCCGGTGCATCCGCAGGGAAGGTCCCAGCTCCCCAGTGCCTCCTCGCCCCAGCCAGGAGGGACCCTGTGATTTCACTGAGGCCACGTGTGAAGGATTCCCATAGTGGGGAGCACCCAGTGGGTGGGCAAAGAGGCTGTTCCCTTGCCCAGCACCCTTTAAAACCTCTCTCCTTTCCCCTCCCCACGGCTCAGCTCTCTCCGAGCGGTGGGACCATGCTGGAGGATGAGGATGGGATGAGCGAGAGGGGGCTCAGCAGCTCAAGGAGGAGATACGACGATGAGGAAGGTGAGTGGAACCTCTGGGGTGCCCCAAATGGCAGCGGGGTCTTCCCCGCCAGCTGATGCACCGGATCTCCCAGCTTTTGGCTTGGCACATCCCCGTGCACGACGTGGGAAAAAGCTCCTGTGGGTGCTTTAAGCCTGGTGGGAAGGCGGCAAATATCTCCCTGGGGTTTTTTTTTTTTGGTGCAAGTGAGAAACACCCAGATCTGTTCTCTAAAACTTTCTCCCCGCCGCCCCCTCTAGATTACCACTCCATCTACATCGGGGTGCCGGTGCCCCGGGGCTACCGGAGGAAAAGGCGTCGGCGAAGATCCGCTTCCAGCCGGGACAGGACGAGCGAGAGCGAGCGGCACTATGAGCGCCAGGATCGCTCCGACA